AAAACTACAAAGCTTTTTTGGACAAATGTTTCGAGTCTTGCTCATACTACATAAGAATTTGTGGTTCTGAATTCAAAATATTTTAATCCATACTAATTTTAAAAGTTCGAAAGTGTGTCTGTATGTCTACTTTATTTGCCTGTCTGGTACCTCTTCGATTGAACTACCGCTGAACCGGTTTAAATGAGATTTGGTATAGAGATAGTTCAAGTCCCGGGAAAGGACATAGTATAGTTTTTATTTCAGAAATCATTCTTTAAGGGGTGAAAAGGGGTAGAAGGTAGAAGTTTGTGTGGAAAATCAATAACCGCTGAATCGATTTAGATGAAATTTGGTATGGAGATAGATTGATTTTTTAGGAAGGACATAGGCTAGCGAGGTGAGCCTGAAGAACTCACGATGTCGGATTAAAACTTACTTCAATCTGATTGTGCTGCCATTTACGTTTTCACATAATCATATTAACAGCCTTTGATAGTCCGCTGTTGGACATAGGCCTGTCCCTAGCAAGGAGGTTATGGCCTACATTACCGCCGCGCGCCGCCGGCTGTGACACAGGATACACTACTAATGCGGGCGCAGTTTAAAAAAAAAAAAGAAAAAAAACATTGTAAACCCCACTGAATAGTAAGACAGCTATATTAGTTTTGACATTTACAAAATATAAATAACTATTTGTCTTTACTTAATCAATTTGTTAACTTATGTTTTCTAACTAAAAAATCAACTTTCATGCCTACACACTCTACACCTATTTAATCATTGTCAAATCCTGCAACGACACTCAGACGTCCGTAATTCTATTGGCGAGTGAGTCCTAAGTACATCTGACACTGCTCTCCAACTAGCGAGATCTATTTTCAAGCACGCTGTGGGTTTTTATGCCAGCTCTGATTTTAACGGAATAATTGAAATAGTATATTCTTTACCTTTTAAAAGTAATAGTTTTAACTCAGCACTGTATTAATTTATTTCTAATTAACTTTTAGATAGATAATATAAAATTATTTTTAATATTTCACACACATCTCACACACGGCGGTCTGATCCCAAACTAGGCAGAGCCTGTACTATGGCAACCAGATTGCTGATAAACATACTTATATATTTCTAAATACATACATATTATAGATTAAGTACACCCAGAAACAGAACAAATGACCGTGCTTATCACACAATTATTTGTTCTGGGTGGGAATCGAACCTCTGGCGTAGCAGTCAGGGTCACTAATCACTAGACCAACAGGCCAATCATGGATAAAATTATTTTATTGTACACCAAACATAACAAATGCAGTCGCAGTCGGAGGGATATATAAACTAGAACAGTTTCCCAATGCGTCCATTTTATCGTGGGTTACGATCTCTTGCATAGATAAAATAAACATGTGTATCCTAGCGATCCGCCTGGGCTTCGCACGGGTGCTTCGTAGACTCATACTAATGTGGTTTTAGTGTGGCATTAATTATATTATTATTGTGATTAGTCTATACTAAAGGATATCTTTAAGTACAATATTTACCGACGCCACTCGGGACAGTCGAACGTGCCGACGACAACCGCCTTGCCACCCTATTTTAAATCTCTAAAATATTTATTTTAATGATATACTGTAAAAGGCAATTATAGTCTACATTAAATGCACAACGCATATCACACACTACATGCATATCTAGTATATTTAATTGGATAAGGAATAATACTACATTTTTAAAATAGCTTTTTAACAAACCCATTTTTTTTGTAATATGTAAAAGATAAAAATGGTTACTGTGGGTTATCCTGAGGAGATCGACATATTTTTATTACAAATATCAGCCACAAAAACGTGATCACGTGACCACGTCATCATTCGACGAGAAAAATTAGCACTGTACTCACGTAGAAATTTTTTCATTTTTGTATTTCCCAGAACATAATGAAGAAAGAACTTGAATAGTTGAACCAAAAATTGAACTGACTTATCAAATTATATTATTTGTATTTTCGGACCAACTAAAGACAAGGTAAGCAACACAGCTGATTGATTAATAAGCTGTGAAAATTTTACGAATATTACACATTTTCTGATTGGTATTTGCAATCACGTGACTCACGGATAAAAAATCCTATTTTTCTCAAGTGGAAATAAATAAAATAAACTAGTAAATACGAGTACCTTTCTATCATTTATATTATTTCAGGCTTTTTACCAATAGATCTATTTAAAAATAAATAGCTATTTCTTTTTAATCATACCGTTAACTCGCAAGTTCTAATACTTTTGAAAGTTGGTAGGTTTCTGTCCTATAAATATATTAAAACTTAAGTTGGATTTCCATTATTTAATACAAATAAAAGTTTGTGCAAGCCACCAAGTGGCAACAACTTGGAGGAGTTAAGTTCCTTATCACCTTATATTATGACTTGAGTCATAAGAGTGCGGTGTTCTCAGTTTATTTAGAGAATAGAGCAGCTGTTCCAACTTGTCACCATACCTGTTAATACTGATGTGATATGGCACCTTTAAAACACATGTTAATATAAGCTAGCTTTGAATAAATATGAAAACCACTCATAGATGTTTCTAGAATATTAGAAAAGGATACTATATTTTTGCAAAGTACATTTTATACAAAAAAAAGACGTGTGGCACTCGGGGACTGCCGCGGTAAAGCTATTGCATAACATTTTTTATCAACTTATGCAATTATAATTTTTTTTTTTTTTATTTATGAAGCATTTTTTTTTATTTGTTTTTTTTTCTTTAATATTAATTGGATTGCGGGGCGAAGAGGGGGATTACGTATGCGCAGTAACGCCGATACAACCAATGCCACCTAGAGGCGAGTTGCTGAACTAAAGAGACAAGCGTGATATTTCAAAAAAGTCATTTAAAGTTCTGCTATTCATCGATAGATGGCAAAACTAAAAAGTTTCACGTGGGGTGTGTTAGGTTATTTTCGTTACAGAATTTCTGGATTCGGTCTCCACGCTCAAGGCCCGCGATAGAAGCTATGCAATAGCTTAAAAAATGTATAAATATGTCTGTGGTATATATAAACTGTGGATTTTGGTTATGAAGTCAATATATTGTAATAATACATAAAATATTAAATCTAAGTATTCCAATACCTGGAAACAATAACATGTATTGAATTGAACATGTACACTTTAAATTGCTGTTGTTGTTATCAACAACAACAGCAATTTAAAGTGTACAATGACGTCACGTAGACATTAGAATGCTACCTATAAACCGCAAACAATGTCGATATTACAAACTGGTTTATCTTACAATATTACAGTTCAACGACTTTGTGTAAAACAAATGATAACTTAGAACACGAATATAATATATTGTAAATTTGAGTAGTGTTCTGAGAGGTTCTTACAAACTTGCATGTAGATAGTTCGTCTGTCTCGGCACTCCATTTTTTTTTTTTTTGAAATCCCCTCGGATACCACCGGATATCGGTGGCATGTCGGACGCGAACCAACTAAAACCGCACGCCGTCTCGGGTACTAATAGCCGGGGAACCAGGTATACCCCCTAGAAAGGAAGTCCCTGGTGCAGTCTCGGCTCATAGATTTAATTTCCATTTTTTCCCGAGTGACTTCAACTTCGATTTTGGATGGACGGCTTCGTGGTGCATCCATTACTTACAACAAACAAACTGATATTTCCCATTTTATAAGTAAATACTCTCTTATATATACAGGCAAAATAAAAGTTTCAAATATTAAACAATATGTTTCAACGTAAGGTTTAAATAACAATATATTTAGATTTATCACCATCATCAGCAGCCTCCAACAGTCCACTGCAAGACATAGGCCTCTCCTTAGAAAGGAGGTTTTGGCCGACTATACCACGCTGGCCAGACGGGTTGGTATAGGATTTGTTTCAAGTTTTCCTTCCCTTTGCAGTGCTATTGTCCTGCGTAGTTCTCTCCCTTAGTCGTCTCTTACGACACCTACGGGATGAATAGAGGTGGTGACACTCCGTATTCTTAATCTGTGACCACACGGATTTAACGGACGGATTTAACCAATATAAATTAAGTTTTTTTATATACTTTTTCCATTATAAGATTTTAGTATGTTGACAAAAAAATAAAGAACAAATTTGGTATTTGGGCAGTATTTATATGCTTTTATTACTCCTTTCATAGTAAATCTTTTTACCAGAAATAACTCCGCCATACCAACATTTCTGTCGGGAAATTTATTTTTCCTTCCTTTTTCTGTAATATGGCGAAATCCACCTGACAGGTCACTTGATTGTAATTAAATACCACTGGGGCATATTATATATAATACCATAGGGGCGAGGTATTGGGTCTCAAGTAACCTCACTTACTCAGAGAAAAGTAAAAAGAAAATACTTAATAGAGGTTTTCTATGAGGCCGTGGTATATCCAGCATTAGTAATTTAATAATCATCAACAGCCTTTAATAGTCCACTGCTGGACATAAGCCTCCCCTTAGAACGGAAGTTTTGGCCTACTATATATTAATATATACTATATACTATACATTATACTATATATATATACTATATACGAGTACTATATACTATTTACTATACATATATTATACTATATATTATATTAATATATAATAATATTAACATAATATTCTACCACATTCACACAATGCCATCTAGTCCCAGACTAAGCAGAGCTTGTACTGAGGGTACTAGACAACTGATAGAAATACATATATACTTTTTATTTGTAAATACATGCATATTATACATAGACCTAGACACCTAGAACAAATCAAACATTAATGTTCATGCACCAAATGTTTGACTTTAGCAGGAATCGAACCCGCGACCTTTAGAATAGCAGTGCGTTACACAAACCACTATGCCATCCCTGTGTGCCGAATCATAGATCTCCCAAGACAAAATAAAAAAAACAAAATCAAGTAAAGTCTTTATTGATGTGCTGAGGCTAGTAGCAAAGTATAATTTCTAGAACAGATTAAATAATCGTTTATATAAAAGGGATGTTTAATGCTTGCCCCAGCCTTCATAACCAACCCATCCTCCGTGACCACCCCATCCTCCGTGACCACCCCATCCTCCGTGACCACCCCAAGCTCCATGACCACCCCACCCTCCAAGGCCACCCCAGCCTAGTCCACTCCAACCTAGACCTTTCCATCCCAGATTACCCCAACCGTAGCCTGCATTTAGCACTGGAGCAGAAACCACAGGGATTATTTGGGTTCGAATGATGGGGACCGGAGCAGCCTTCACTAAGTTAGCAGTGGAGACAGCGTTGGGAACGTAGATAGGAGCATGTCCTATCCAGGGGGTTCCGTAACCTGAAAGCATTTTATTCAGTAATTAAATCTACTGAACCAATTTGATTGAAGCAGTCTTAAATAGTTTTCAATAATATCCACTTAAATAAACTACTCCTATATATATACAATAATTTGTATGCTTCTGTGTATCTCTATGTAGTGACGGATTAAGAATACGGAATGTCACTACCCCAATTCATCCCGTGGGTGTCGTAAGAGCCGACTAAGAACCACCAGAACTGCAAAAAGAAGGAAAACTTGACACAAACCCTATACCAACCCGTCTGGCCAGCGTGGTGTAGTAGGCCAAAACCTCCTTTCTAAGGAGAGGCCCATGTCCAGCAGTGGACTATTGAAGGCTGATGATGTGATGATGTGTGTGTATATTATGTATGTTTGTGTGTGTGTGTGTATAGGTTAAGGTACTAGCTACATGGGTGTATTTGTATCTATTACCATATTTATTTGTGAGCAGTCAATATTTGTGTTCTAAAGCCAATAGGCTTTAGAACACAAATATTGACTGCTCAAATGGATACAATAGTATCTAGACAATGAACCCTAATTATTATTATTATTCTTTTATTATCTATTTCTTTGTTGTTCACTCTGATACGTCTTTTAACTACTATTAAACTAGAGATTTTATTATAAAAGTCATCCTTATCACCGTATTAAACTTACCATAACCCCCAATCGGGTTTCCTTGGCTAAGGCCAAGGACTACCACCAGACAAGCTAACTGTAAACAAAAAACAAAATCATTATAATGACACAAAGTTTTTCATCATCATCATCATCATCAACAGTCTTTAACAGTCCCCTGCTGGACATAGGCCTCTTTTTCGACAGGAGGTTTTGGCCTACTATACCATACTGGCCAGACGGGTTGGTATAGGGTTTGTGTCAAGTTTTCCTTCTTTTTGCAGTGCTGTTGTCCTGCGTAGTATGCTCCCTTAGTCGTCTCTTACGACACCCACGGGATGAATAGGGGTGGTGTCACTCTGTATTCTTAATCTGTCACCACACCGATTTAACGGACGGATGTAACGGATAAATTAAGTTTTTGATCGCAAGAAAACTATTTTACTCTTGTTTCAAAATGGTATTAGAAAGTTGTCCCTATCAAAAAAATACTATATAAACTATCCTATTATTGATCCATACCTGCTTGAACAATTGCTGATACTCCCATATCCATCTGTACAAGTAAAAAAAATCCCTTCCATTGCATTCTCTTTTCACCTATAATAATTCCAATTTGAGGAATATTGGGAGTTTATCAACCGACACTGCTACCCACATGACATCGCTGGGAATCGAAAAATTACGTCTAGCATTTTTTTTATTTAACGCAATGCAATTTTAAATATAACAACGTCGTGAGGAGTCCACGAAGTTCCTTTTGGCAAAAAGTTTCGACAAAAAGTCTTGTTACACATTTTTCGGTGTCGCTCCCATCCGCTAAGAGCGGGTAACTTCGTTCCAATAAATTTTGAAGCCATTTACGGTTTACCTTAGAATCATATTAAAACACTATTCCAAAAATGACGATATTTAAAATGTTCAGTCATAGTATTACACGGCAGTTGATTGATTGGCTATCAAGACTTATCGTTACCTACTAATATGATAAAGCGGAATATTTGTTTGGTTGAACGCGCTAATCTCAGGACCTACTAGTTCGAATTGAAAAATTAGGTATTTTTCGGCTCATTTATCGAAGAAGTCTAAAGGCTGTATGACATCACGCACTAATGAGAGACCAGACAACCAGACTGCTGATAAACATACTTATATATTTTTAAACACATACATATTATAGATAAATTACACCCAGACACAGAACAAATGATAGTGCTCATCACACAATATTTGTCCTGGGTGGGAATCGAACCCACGACCTCCGGCTTAGCAGTCAGGGTCACTAACCACTAGACCAACAGGCCCGTCAATTCCTTTCATAATAAAACTGATGACGATAATTTGGAAATAATGAACCCGAATTTCTAAACCTCTACATTCCATCAGGTCTGCTAACCTGGAGTAGAGTTCTTAATTACCATTTTAGGTTAATTTCAAACCTTGAATAGTATTGTTTCAGCGTGTCTTGAAGCGCCTCAATAGCTTAAATATACTACGCGTGTTTATAATTTGTAAATAATTTATGAAATCGATAATTGTATTCTATTTCTTTGTGAAAAAATTAGCTTTTATAGAATGAATCTGATATTTTAAAATTTACCAAATCAATCTTTTCATCATGCTTAATACTTAAAAAACTAGATCAGTAAACTAGATCAATAAACTCGATCAGATTTTTTACATCGACCTTAATCGAGTTTTCTCTTCATTAATTTTTCGTCAATTATGATCCCTCTTAACTCATCTATAAAATATGTAAAATTATTTATTTATTTAACGTAAGGCTTTCGAACTAATTTACCTATATCCTGGACATTTTATTGTAAAACATTTATACAAATAAATGTGTTTATAATTTAAATTAAAGACGAGCACAGCATTACACATAGGTGTACACAAAACAACTAACTGTATTAACTAACTGTTATTTTATATTCGATATTATATCAAGTCGGCTTAAGAAATTTTTATTTCTAAATACAAATAGGTTTTAAGAGCATCGGTCTTGAAACTCATTTGTGTTGAGAACTTTTCGTGTCGTTCATTCGATTGTGCTGCAATAATTGGTGCCGAAAGAGAAATACTCCTTTTAGATCGAGCGCCAATCAATTTACAAACTCCAGTCGTTCTGATAATTACTTGTCTGTTATCGAATGGTATACAGAATAAAAATTGTCACTTCATTGTTTTAGAAAAAAATAATTAAAAACAAAACTCATAAAAATATAAAAGGTGAGGCGATGGCAATCCAATTAACGGCACAAAATGATTTCAATTTCATTAACAAAGTTAACCGTTTAAAAAAAAGGCGAAGCTAGGCTGAAAAATTATATTGGCGTTTTACGCATTTTTACGCCTTTTCGATAGATTTGTGATTCTGAGAGGCACAGAAATTCTCTTAAATATATTTTGATAAACAGTTGTCTAATAATTGGATAATACTATTAAGGTTCACAGAAGTCAACTAAGCTACATTTTTTTATAATAGATAGGGAAAATGAGCAACGGGTAACTCCCAAAAAAAGACTCCCAACTCAATAGACATCTGGCTCTCTCAGTAATTGGTGTTGGATGAAAAATCCTTTCTTATGCTAGGTCCGATTCCTTGTACCGTAAGTGAATGAATGAATCGATGAACGAATCGATCGTGAAGACGAAATGTGAACTTCGTTCTTCAATTATGTGGAGCATACAAGATATTATCTGAACATATCGTTTAAATAATGGTTAAATTTCAGGAATAAAATCTCTCAAAATATTAAAATCAAATTATAACTTACAATGATGTAGGTGTTCATCGTTGTAGCTTTCTGGATGATGTGTTAATACCTGACCTGCAGACAATCAATTTATACCTGCACCTAAATCAGCACCCACCGCTGAAACAGAGCCGGATGCGACCCACACGCACTTTGAAATAAATAGTTGCGTTACATCCTCAAATATCCTTGCTCCATTTGGAACTTGGAATTAATTAAAGTTATCCTCGAGACCTGAAAGTGATCCAATGTTCCGTAAAACAGCTATTCAAACTATTCATTGTGTAACCAATTGAACAATTAATCATGTCTCAAATCAACTGATTTGTTGCTTAAAGTAATACCAGTTGTTGTTGCAATCAATGCAAAAAAATTGTTACAAAATATTTTCCAGATTCTTTTCAAAGGAGCTGTGAGATATTTTCTTTTTATCACATCACATCAACAGCCTATGAGTCCACTGCTGGACATAAGCCAAGCCCTCCTTTCATTTTCTTTCTCATTAAATTATAAACGTGAAAAATTGTGAAGATGGGTATATTCAAAATGACTGATCAGATCTGGATGATTTTTGGCACGAAGACAGATTATAAATCTGTTGACGTTTCAAACCTTTTCGAAGATTGTTTTTATCTGTTTTTCCAGTCAGTTTTCTTTCTCATTTCTCATGTATGCATCCACAATGTGCCACAGTGAAGTGTACTAGGGTACAGCTAGTTAATTATATATTTAAAATGTAATATTACAATAAAAAATAAAAAATTTAAATATAATAGACATTCAATTTCACGTTTACAAAGTTAGTTTTGGGTATAAACTAACCAATTGCCCGACTGCCTCGGTGGTAGCGTGTACAACAGCTGTTCTTAAGTCTTGGGTTCGATTCCCGGGTCGGACAAAATGTTTCTATGATCTGCAAATATCTCTATGTATAATATGTATGTATTAACAAAAGTAATCTATCAGTTAATGTAGGTTTCATAGTACAAGCTCTGCTTAGTTTGAAACCAGATGGCGTTGTGTGTTTAATGTCCCAAAAAAAACCACATTAATTGCTCCCGACATGTGCATTAAATGCACTGACTACAGTGCATAAAAAAAGATAAGGTTTGGTTTTGAAATCTTTAGTAACAGTTGGTTGAATTTAGAGGAAACATGGAATTACGCACTAGCTAACTGTTGTTCATTTGCTTCATTGTTTATTAGATTCAATATAAGATAGGAATCATGATATCCTGGCAAGATTCATATTGTTTGATATGGTTAATTATAAGGTACAGTGTGTAATTAAGCATATCAAATAATATCAACTTTAGTACCTTAATTATAACAGTAGTTATAATTAAGGTAAGACCGGATAATTAATCAGCTATTTGTGTCTGATACTAATAATCTAAACTATTATCACTTTGTCCGCGTGGTGACGGATTAAGAATACAAATTGTCACCACCCCAATTCATCCCGTAGGTGTCGTAAGAGCCGACTGAGGGAGCAAACTAAGAAGGACAACAGCACTGCAAAGAGAAGGAAAACTTGAAACAAACCCTATACCAACCCGTCTGGCCAGCGTGGTATAGTAGGCCAAAACCTCCTTTCTAAGGAGAGGCCTATGTCCAGCAGTGG